GAGAGAGAACAGAAAACACTCAGGATGCACCAGTGAATGGGGAGAGATATGATGGTGTAAATTTCCCCTCTATTAAAACAGAAATCTTTTGCAAAATCTTCTGAAGAGAGGAAGTCAATGTTCTTCAGTATCTACAATCATGGACTGATTACTCCTCTTACATACAGTATTCCCAAATTCTGTAAAATTTTATTTTACACAGGTCTTTATCCTGTGTTGTAATACCTAGGGATACTTGCCATTCTGTTTTGTGGCATTTAACTTCATTTTCTACAGATTTGAGCCCCAGGTTTCCTCCCTGTTTGTCTCAAAACATTTATTCTTCATAACAGCATGCCTTTTTATGCCTGACTAAGTATATATTGATAATGTAACAGATTTGCCTTGTTCAAAAGGCAGAATTGTTTCAGAATTCTGTGATGCTTATGCCTTGGTTAATTTCACCTCATAGCTGGTGACTAAAATCCATTGGTCATCTCTATCACCAGCAAGCACTAACTCAATGACTGTACAGAAAAAAATGAAATCTTTTCTTAATCTTTGTCTCATGTCCATTTTTCTTTGAATGCCAAAAGCTCCAAATATTTTAATCAATTGTCTTGGGTCTCAGCTAGTCTTTAAAAGTCTGATTATCTCATTTGGTCTAAGCTCTAATTGTTAGACACACCAGTGCTTCAGGGTCTGTAAAATATACTTGCAGCTGCACATTTGTGGTAGGTTCATACGTACTATCACACAGCTCATTATTGGACAGATCAAAGTTCACTGAAATGAATAGAAACCTTTAATCTAGATTTTCCCTCTCAGACTTGCAACTGGCTAAGTGCACTTACTCTTCGCAATCACAGCTGAGAATTCAGCATGCTCCCTGTGAATTTAAGCTGACTAGGAACTGAATAGCAGTGGAAGCATACAATAAAACTTGAAGTGGTAGAAAATTGAAATAAAAAATAAAAATGAAAATGGAGAGGGTCCAACCTATAGCTTCAGGAAAATTTTCCTATCTAGACAAGCTAATGGCCAGTCATAAGAAAACAACCTATTATAAAATGTGATGGGAAATTATCTTAGAGACTGATGAATAAATTCAAAACCACATATGGAAGGTATGCTAGTAATTACCCTAATCACAAAAAGTAAACTGTTAAAAATAATTTCAGATTTAAATATAATGAAAACAGTAATTTAATCCTCAAGCAGTAACCTATCACTCTGATGCTAATGCAGAGTAGGCAAGAAGGAATATGGGGTTTTTTAGCAATAAATACAAGATTTTTAAAGTACACATTAAAAAAAAAATATCAGTGTCATTTTCTTAAGTTTGACCAGGTAAAAGTAGATGTCTCTTACAGGAAAAGTGTAAAAGTGTCTTCTTCTGACCAATATTTCAAGAATTATTTGAATTCCGTAACATCAAAAACTCATTCTGTAAGCCAGGCAGTGAAGATATGGCCTCAGGAAATCTGTGTGAGGAAATTCATTTATTACACAAAATAGAAAAACTGCTACCAGAATAAGCATGCAAAAAAAACACACCATAGACGAGTGATCCTCTGAGAAGGAGCGAAAGGAAAATGATGTGCCAAGACAGACTGCTCTCAAATGCATACTCTCTCAGGAATAAAATTCACCCTGTTCTGAGATGCTGGGTAGCAACAACATCTCCTTACCTGTTCTGAACAGTGCCGCAAAAGAGCTAAAACAATGAACACTGGTTTGCCCTAGTTATGTACAAGCCTTTATCTTATAAATGAAGCTATCTCCCAGATTGAAGAACAATGGAAGAATAATGGAAAAGGCACAGGTGTGGAAGAGAGAAAAAAAGGTAATTTGTTCCCACTAAGGACAAATACAGTCATGGACTGGGAACACTGGATCAGATGTAACCAGCGAAAACAAAAATCATGGAAAAGGGCAAAATGGATGTGGTGGTCTTCAAAACAATACTGGTTTTGTTATTTTCTCTGTTCTCAGGAGGACAGATGTCTGATATATTTATGCTGGTTTGGGACCTGGAAGATTAAAATTCATTTTCTGTGTGCTACTCTGACTGCTTGCTTAATTCTTGGTAAGCTAGTTAGAGCTAGGCTTACAGGTATTCAGATATTACAAGAAACAAATATACCTAGAAGCTTTATGGGATTTTTTTTTTTTTTTTTTAAGAGTATTAGTCCATTTGGTTTAGCAATTTCAAAAAGAATTGAACAAAAATGCCTAGGTGCTTCTAAAATCCCACTTCAACCTTTTGATTAAATCCTTTAGAAGTGTCTCAAAAAAAACTTTGCTAAATGACGACGTAATACCTTCCCATGTCTATGATCCACTGTGAGGACAGAACCATTACTACAGTAAAAGCCCTTAAAAAGGGATTTATAAAACAAGCACACAGACTAGTCCAAGAGATGCTGAATGCTTCTCTTGCTAAGAACAATTTCTAAAAATTGCAGAGGTGAAAATGCCTACCTGGTGTCAGGAGGGTATTTGCTGGCATGGTCTATTGAGGGGATTGTACAATTATTTGGTTTCAAGAATGTTCTACAGATATATCTCCTTTTATTCTGGAAAGATTACTCTGCTGCAGCAGTATTTTCCAGTTTCTAAGAATAACTCATGTTCTGCTCACAAATGCCATTCTGTGAAGTTTACAAGCACACTCCACCACAGTATTTCAGCTGGGCTGCAAAGAACCCAAGTTGGGAACTGCCAGTTCCACAGTTTTCCCAGCTTTGGCTTAGATTTTCAGTGTCAGCTGTAAGAGTAAAAGTCAATACAGCCCATCCTAGCCAGGGATCCAGTTGAAGGATCTATAAAAATCCAAATTATTGCATGCTCATATAAAGGCCAGCCTTTTAGCTTTTGTACATCACTGTTCCATTGATTTCAACCAAGCTGTTTTAATTCATAGAAGCTGAACTCAAGAAGTTCTCATCTGGTTCCTGGCTTTTAAAATAAAGAGCTGAAACGCCTTCTGAAACATCTTTCAGCAAAACTTAATCTTACTTTGTGCAAAAGAATGATGAATAATGTAGGACCATCTTAACTGGGGCACTTCGACTGGAAGAAAAAAATGGTCATAAAATAATAATCTGACCCAATTTTAAGAAGTTTATAAAAACACATTATGCTGCGCACTAAACTCAAATACATAATTTAGATTACTTTGGACTAGAGTGACTAAGTATCAGATCATTCAGAAATTAGCATGAAATATACATGATGGTCTTACAGTATGTCTGTTTACTGCAGTAAATACCAGTTCTCACATCTCATTTAGTGCGAACAGGCTCATAAATAATACCATGGGGTTTTTCATTACCATTCCAGGTAAATATGCCCAAGTTGGCCTGCTCCTTCTGAATAAATGCATTCCT